AGATAAAAGACATAACCTCAGTATCATTATATCTCAGTTGCTATACTTTATATAGGGCATATAAAATAAATATAGACCTGGAACGCTAAATCAACACTTTCTTTATAGAATACATAATACAATTGAAATTCGTTTTAAGTTTCAATTTTGTGTCTTTCGTGTCGTGAGTATAAATCATTTATATGTTTTTTAAGATATCTTGTTTATTCAGAAATTGTTTTTTTGCCTCACGTTTTAAAAATATATATTATGTTATATCTAAATTATACAGGATGTAAAGACCTTAGGAACTCCCGTTGTGCTTGGGCACGATGATGCCTGGTTTCCATTTAGACTTAATTGCCGTAACATGTCACGTTGGCCATGTGATATAACATTTCTGGGTGTGTAGTCAAACAATGGGTGTGTATGGGTGTGTAGTCAAACAATGGGTGTGTATGGGTGTGTAGTCAAACAATGGGTGTGTATGGGTGTGTAGTCAAACAATGCCCGAATTGAATTAAGAAGTAAGGACAAATTTACGCATGACTATTTCACATTCGTGAGAATCACGACAGTGACGACTAAATGAATACCAGGCTCAAGGGTAATTTCTATAAGTCTCTTTTATTTGGATAAACCCGCGTGGATAGTGTGTCCCGAAAAAGGCGAACCAAAAATATTCTTCATCGTCCTAATAATGCCATGTTGAAGCTACGTAAAAGTAAATTAAGGGATCAATGTATTAAGTATCTGTTGAATTAGGCCAAAATTGCTTGTCATGCGAAACATTTTCCATAGGAGAACCCGAAGATTGTGTGTAATTAGTAGCGAGTTCAAATTTAACATAACATTAAAAATCAGAATAATAGCGGATTTTTAGGTGTTTCGCTTTTTCGACACAACGTGTAAAACACCCAGTTTTATCGCATATATTATATTTTAAAAATATAGTCTACCATGCTAAAAGCAATTAAATCAACTATACATATTAAATGCCTAGTGCGCAATTTTGAACCGTTATTTCATGGACTTGTTTGATTCTCTGTTTAACTGAGTGATAGATAACATTTGTCGTTACCAAAGTTGATAGCTTGGTAAATCAGTGAGAAATACGCGCACTGTACGGTAATCTCCTGCAAGGACAGCCCAAAAGAACTTCTTTTTCCATCCTAAACATTCACAGTTGAAGCCACACTCTCTTACAATGCGATAAATGCCGTCGCAATGGTCACCCATAGCCAAACTTCCGTTAACAGACAGGCTACGATCTCTTATAGAAAGAAGGGTACGTCTGCGATTAGATTTTCTTGGACCATCACAGGCTTGTATCTTAACAACGAAACGTTCACCGTTGTTGGGCGGCCGCGCGTGTGCACGTCCACAAGGCTCAAGGACCGACCATGGCATCCCCCTTTTCATTACCCTCGTCTAAAAACCATCTTGTCGCCAATGAGACCGAGATGACAATGGAAGAAACTTTTACCAAAAAACGCTATATCTCTCCAATAGTCGAACGCAACAATTTTTGTTGGATTTCAAAGTCATCTTTTTCGCATCCTGGGCTGCAGTATCCTGCGATAAAACAGTTGTCACATTTCTTCCAATGGCCTTTCTCTGTAACAACGAAAACAAAATGTCAGTGAACTCCTTCAGTTGTGGATGGCTGCCTCTCTCCATGTTATTTTTCACCTCATTGTCAGTGCATTCGCTAGCAAGAATTCAACCACCTCTTGCGGAAAAGACTTCAAAAAAATTCGGCATCGCACTGTCGAGTTCATCATCCCAACCTATGGCTTGGTCAATACCAGGCCCCTCGTTCCCAAAAATACGATTGGACTCAATAATTGATTGCCGCAGACCTGATGCTTTTGTTACTGGCACCACATGAATGCCGCCACATTTGTTTTGGTAAATTCTGTTCCGAGAAATATGGCACCAAGCATCGAACGCTCGAATACCCAGCCAATTGTTCTCAAATATTTCATTTTCCTCTATGACAGCGGAACCTTTTTCACGAACAAATACACCATCACGGTCATTGTGAAATATTTCATTTCGTGTAAATGTTGCATTTCCTTCCTGGACTCCTATACCCATTTCCTGGTTATCATAAACTTGACAACAAGCCACACGACATTTGCCATGCATTAGAAGTAAACCCCATCGGTTACCGTGAAGTTTGCTGTTTTTGAGGCAAAGACTTCCACCGAAGATTTCTATTCCAGCAGACTTGTTACCAGAAAAGACGGAGTCTTCAACAACAGCTTCTCCTTCAGTGAACAGGGCAGTATTTTTGCAATTGTTAAACACACAATTTTTCACACTGAGATTTCCTTTTGACAGAAAAGCACGCCAATCTAGATTGCACGTGAACGAACAGTTCAACAGCTTGACTGTAGAGCCCTGCAGGGTACCCCAGTTTGCAACATCGAATATAAAAGAGATGTTATAAGCCACAACGTTGCGGGAAAGCAGACCTAAATTACGATCGAAGGAGAGTGAAGGCGAGCTATCACCCAAACCAACAATGCAAAAATCAAGTGTTATCAACCGCTTTATATTGACATTGAAAATATCTTCATCTTGAATTCGAAAACTTTCGAAATCCTTGGCATGGAGACAATATTTGCCTGGTTTGAGGAGAATGATTTTGCACGGGCGATAAGCAAACATCTCATCATGTAGCGGAGGAGAAAGCAAAGAAACCAGTGAAGGAACGTCATCACACATATAAATACGTTCTTTCACATTGGGAAATGAAGTTTTGAACGGTTCGTATTTCTCGAAGATACTGGGGTGATAATAAAAGGCCAAAGCTGCAGCACATACAGCATCTTGTTCATTCAAGCCGTGAAGAGCCAAGGCTTTCCTAGCGTAGCCTTTCCAACAATCAGGAGAATACTTAATGTATTCCTCAGCATCGCTCAGAGCATTTTTGAACTGCTCTAACCTGAGATAAGCAGAAGCACGATTACTAAATAACCTAGGGTCAAAAAAATTCTTCCCTATACTTCTATCAATACATGAAGAGTATACTGTTACAGCCTCTTCGAAATTGCTTTTCATGAATAGGTCATTACCCTCAGATCGCAAATTATCGATTTCTGCTTTCATGGGATCATAAGCAGAGGTCTTAATAACAGTATTGATATTTTCTATCTCAGGGGGAGCCTCACAGGAGTATTTGATTAACCTACGTACAGACTCTGACAGAGGAAACGTATGTGGAAAGAGAACCCTCAAACCATTCTCCGAAATCTCTTGGCGACTACAGTCAAGAATCCGATTGGCAAAGTCTCCAACAATTTTTGCCTGACTACTCAAATTATTGACATTCAAATGCAAAGCACATTCGTAAACCGCCCTTGCTATCTCTGGTAGAAAGACAGTTTTCCCGATAACATCATGGACGACTTCTAAAAGACGTTCTAGATTCCTTCTAATTTCATGTGCATGTAAACACAACTTATGCCACTTATGAAAAATTGAAGAATCATTTGCATAAAGAGAAGATCGATCACTATATTCAGTTACTGAAATAAGATCAGGAGAGCGACATTTCAAGAAGGCAAAACGTAACAACCGGGCTGCGTCAACAATGCTTTCAACTTTCTCCTCCGAGGTCAGACTTTCTTGAATGACCTCTTGGACTAAACGATGAACAGTGAGGGAAGAATCGTGAGTTTCCTTAAAGAGAGAAAAGTCAGTCAAGAGTTTCAGGACTTCAAGGGAACCCAAAGAAGAGCTCACGTAATCACAATACATTTTTTCGTCAACAAGTGGATCGCCAACATTAATGAGGTCTTTTTGAATTTCATTGCGATCCAAAAACGCCGAAGCATTCAAAAAACGAGTGGCGACGATCCCGTTTTCATCTTTTTTGATATGTTCAAAGTTGAGATGCCACGTGGTACGAACGGCCAATCGTTCTGGGGAAGTTCCATAAAAAGAGGTAGCTTTCTTCTTGTTTAGAAGTTGGAGGGACTGTTCTCGTACGACCCTAAGTACTCAGATATGAGCATCCCAGATACTTGATGTATGCACAAGCTTGTTCTAATGCTAATGGTAAGCCACCAAGCTTTTGACATAGGGAGTCCGCGGAAAGTTCTGTGTAACGGAAAGTAAATAGTGTTAAGGTCAATTTGTTGTTTACACTGAAGTAACTTATATCTTGAATTAAAGATGTAACAAATGCCAGATATTTGTTCAACTGAATTTATACTTTTTGGGGGCTAAGTATATGTTGCAGAATATTTCTTTTTTGATATTGCTACGTTATGAGGAAGAGCAGTCTGAAGTTGCTTAATTTCACGGTACTAATCTTAATTATTCTTGAAATCTTACTGCGTCTGATATTAAAGACAATTAAGAACTCAAGAGAAATAAAAGGCTCGAACTGACAAAGTGACGTTTTTACACTTGCCTTTTCGATGAATTACTTTTGCAACTTTTCATCCAATTTATTCAAATTTATGCCGAAAATGTTTTGGCCATCTTGGATTTGTCCTACGTACAGGCCGCTTTTATAAAATGTTCTTTATTTAGTTCCACTTTCCACTATAGTATGGGTCAGCGAACAAAGCCCTTACATGGACTTGCTCGAGTTCCGAATAGATATAATTATCGTATACCGCCATTACCATAACTATTGTAGTAAAATTTTTATATAAACTTACCTTTTTGTTCATCACGAGTAATGTTAGTTCTTCTGAAGACGAATTCTTTCGCCTCCTCACTACCAAAGCATTCGAGTTTGAGGCAATTGGATTCTTCGATACCAGATAATTGCTCTTCTAAATCCTGAGGTGTTCGTCGTGTTGTTATGATGAGATGACCAAAACACGCGACGTTTTCTTGCCACGGCCCTGTTACCAAATTAACCAAATTTGGTGAAAGATCAGCTTCATCCATACTGTCAACAACCACCAGCCATGGTTTTGTAATATGTGAAAAAACTGCTAGGGTCTTGTACAATGTAACATTAAACATTCCGTTATAAAGTGTATCGAATTGTGCGGCTATCTCATCGACCGAGCTTTGAACTTGACATCGCTTTCTGCGGAAAACCAGTAAACACCTCCTTGATAATAACCTTTCCATTTGTGTATATATTCTGCAGTAAGGCTTGTTTTCCCGCATCCTCCAAGACCAGAGATGGCAGCAACAAGGACTCCTTCCTCGCCACATCTTCTCTTATTCTCGAGTACGTCTCGAAGATAACCGAGTTCAGATTTTCGGCCACTAAACCAGACACTCTGTTTAGGCGCCATGAAAAGATATCGTGGTTCTTTTTCGTTTCTTTTCGAGATGGTCATCTGTAAATCGTCCTGTTTAGCTCTCAATTGCTCGACATCTTTCTCAGTACGGAGTTGTCTTTCCTTTAACTCTTGGATTTCATCTTTTAAAGATTTTTCGACTGCTTCTAATGCGTTCTGTACGCAAAGAATATTATTAGTGTAAACGGAAAATCTCAAGTGCACATGTAGTTCACGCAAAATTATTGCAAAAGTATTTGCAGCTTAATGCAGAAAACAAAAAGGGGTGACGTTTTTCTCACTTTTGTGATTATATTTGTTTCGGGCGATAACTAATATAAATATATTAGCTATCGGCTCATTTGAGTGATTTCATATTATTAATAAATATAAGACTGCATGCCTTGGCTTGGGTTGGGATAGCTCATGCAATCACACTTTTACCTGAAATGGCCGGGGTTACTGCATCCATGCATTTCGAGTAGTTTATATCAAATGTAGTGTGATGGCTTTATTGCTTTCTTTCTCAAAACTCTATAGTTGTGCTGCAAACTATTCCATTTCAACTTTTCCTATTTAAATATCAACTTTAACCACAAGTCAAAAAATATTATCTGGAATGTTCTTCGGCATGCACAACGCGCGGGTCACAAGGGATATAATTTCAGTGAATTCTATTAATTGAATTTACCAGAATATCCTCTGTATTCTCTTCAACAAATTTTACCAAATCTTTAAGTTCAGCAACCTCAGTGTGGACGAGTTCCAGCAGTTCAGGATCTACTGGCTCGCCAAAACAAAGTTTCAGACCTGAAACAATATAATGGGATATCGAATCAACACGCAATGGATGCTCTCAGCTGGCCATGAAAAACTTGTCATTTTCGTGTTTAAAGCATTTCATGATTTAAAAAGCGTGTATTTGTCAAACTGCGTCTATACACATAAAGTTAATTCGTCATGTTTTTGCAACTCGTTTGCTACGCTATAGCTCGCAGTCACTCGAGAATGTAATTCATATCGGATACTACAGGAAACAACAAAAAACTTTGTTATCTCGAGGATCAGTTGAATTCATTTTACAGGGTAGACAACAGTTCGAGACAACGAAACTTTTTGCTTTTTAATTTTATGTTTTTCATATGTTTTAAACTACACGTTTTGCTTCTTAGCGATTATGGAACTCAGTTGGTTCAGTACCTTTTTCTTTCCAGTCAACAAGATCATCAAGCATTTCCTTTCTTTTGGAAGGTGTAAGGTTGACTTGATTTATTAATGTCTCCATATCTTTTAGAGCTGCTTGGTAAACGACGTCAGTCCATGTGCAAAGTTACAATGCGCCCACTCATTTCTAATATCTGATCTCACTTTTCTCGCCATACCACTAGCACCGTGAAAAGGTTGAGCCTCAGCGACGAGTGACAAAGCTGCAGAGATATCCATAGTGTGATCAAAACCACTAAACTTAGCCATGAATGGTTTCACAAACAACTTCGCTAGAGATACTGCATCTTTAACAGCATAATCATATGATGACTTTGGGTTGTACAATTGTTGTTGATGTTTTCATAATTTAATATCCATGTAGAAGGTGCCAAATTCTTCTTATGTCTTCCAAATATCTGTTTATCGATCTCGTGAGGAGGTGGGAGTAGGCTTTGGTACAATTTTGGTATTTCATTTCCAATAACTTCTCTCAATGCTGGAGTGAGAACTTGCTTAGACATATACCAACGATCACCCATCGCCGTTCATTGTCACCAACTGCAGCCGCCATTTAGAGATGTGATGTGTTATCATAGAATGCTTTAATAGAAAGTATTATAATACTGTGTGGTATAACATACAAGTATCCGCATTAAAGCTATCTGCGATATGCATGCGTACTCGAATTGATAAATTTCACGGCATACGAAGTAGATATACCTTTAACTTCTTTTTTGTATAATTCTTGGAAATTTAATATTGTTATATTCTAACTATTATACAATTAAAAAGAGGTGTAAGTCAGATGAACTTCTTTACACCATGAACCATCGGGAAATTCAAGAGAAGGATCGTAAGTTTATGCATATCCAGGCACGGTTGGAACGTTGATTGTGTAATCAATATAAAAACGAACATGACAGGAAGGTTAACAAGAACCTATTGAACATTAATGCTTTGTTTTAATTAATCAATAAAGCTTTGTTCCTTGGAAAAGGAACCTGGTTTGATTCACAAAGATATTAAAACTAAATTTTGTTTTGATCAGAAAAGATGGGGTTCTCATAATGTAGCTTAAAAAATGATCATGTGATACAGTTAGCCTAACCAATAACCATCCTTCCTCCACTTATGGAAAAACAATTTTTTTCAGTTGGATGCTTCATGAATACTGCACATACAACCCAACTGAAAGACATGTAAGAATTTTTTAGCGACATAATACTAGGTTACCTAAATTGTATCAAATCGACAAATCAACATGTTTATTGGCGACATTAAAAGCTCCAAATAAGGAATGGGCACAATGTCTATTTACAGGAGAGAATGAAGAAAATAGAACTACATTGAGTAAAATATAATAAGTACCTGAGACAGGGGGCTCAGGTAGTTGCATATGGTCAAATCATTTCAATCAATAGCCTTGGTTATTTAATTTAATTAACTAAATTTAGCTATGTACATGTATGTGTATATTGTTAAGACAGTGGGTAATTATCAACACTATAGGCAATGTTTATGTTGGGCAATGTCAACATTACGAAACATAACAGTTTATTTAACTGTCACTTTTTAACAACATTTATATCTCTATAGCATCCCTCTTGGTGTGAATTTCTTTGTGTAAATGTATGTATAAATTTTTCCATATGTAAATAGAGTTGAACATTTATTGTAGCCAGAGATTTGGAAACAAATACTTAAAATAATATGAGAGCTCAACATATAAGCATTAAAGATGAATCTCTTACTGGCTTTGTTAAAAGTCAATTCATGATAAAATTACCCAACAGAAAATTATATTTATATACTTACCCCAATGAGCCCAATCGAATGACATTGTACTGTCAGCTAATCAATGATGTCTGAGAATGACTCGTTTGTCCTCGAATCGCGTCAAATTGGACACATGCTATTCTCAGTCTCTTATTCCATTATTTGTGATTGAATCAACCTGAATATTGTAAAATATAGCAGATATTAACACATTACATTAAGAAGCACAACCGATTGTTTTTTGATCATGATTTACTCAAGGACAAGGAGTTTACGTCATCAATGACATCATCATACCTGACACGTGAAAGCGTAACAGGAAGTAAATTCAACCAGTCTTCTTCCCGACTACAAAACTTCATGTCATATCAGCCATGTAATCAATTGTCTTTTTATAGAAAGCACTACAAGTCTACAATGTTTTCATTGTGCATAAATTTCCATAAACGAGAACAGCGAGTTCCCCAGCTCCTATGATAGGTGATGATCAAAATCTTTCCTCCCATGTTAGGCTCGGGTTAAACTGTCATAGTTTCTGTGATCAATGACACAGTTGGAATCTTCTAGGATTGTTTGCAAACTTTAACAGCAGTAGTGAAAGGGTGCGAAAGGGAGATCAAAGGGGCAGTCCTCTAAAATTTTGGCAAATAAATAAAAACTAATAGACGCATATGAAATTTTAATAGAATTTCCTGAATTAGTGCTCCAACCCCAACACATTTTCTCAAACTTATAAAGTTGCTCTTTTTTCGTAGTTATTTCCTCACAATTCTTTAAGACTCAGGATTAGTTGCAACTATATGCATAAAGTTATTGAGGCGAGTTCTCACAATTCAACGAGATATTGAGACAAAGTTTCCGTTTCGAAATTGAAAAATTGACGAACGTGACATGCAACGGTATAGTGGTAAAAACTGCTATGTTAACTTTTAAAATGTCTGTATTTTCGCAAATAGGCGTATTTCTCGCGAAAATTCCACACCTATGAAATCAGGGCTTTTCCTAAACGAAGTACATCGGTTTGGATTTTAGCCATACATGGCTATACAAAATTGCTACAAAGACAAAGTGCGCAGATACAATTGTTTTCGAGAATTTATATATACCATAACATTTCTCCCACTTTACAAGTCCACACTATTCCAATCTTCGCCCGTATTAAAGTTATAATCATAGATATGCGAATTGCCATATGGATTATGCCGTCAGACGATCCTGGACGTATAACTATTAAGACCAAAACTCCTTGTGAAAACTTCAACTTCTGTCTGAATTATTTTCGCAGAGAAAATGGTCTTAATAGTCACGGAAAGGCATCTCACGTCATAATGCCTGAGGTCTGCTCAAGCAGTGTTGGGTCAAGTCAAACATACAGGAGGTATGAATTCTGGGAAACGGTATAAAACAGGATGTAATCATAAATCGTGCGATGTACCATCCTCCAGGACCATGATGGCCTACGGTACTCTTAAGTCAAAAGCAACCGCTAGAGACTTTTAGATTGGTGCATGCTTTTAGTGCAGAAAATTCAGGCTAAATACGTTTTTGGATTGATATGAAGATATCCACTCCTCCTGCGCGCGAACGTTGGCCAACACTGAATGGTGCATTCTACTCCCCAAGTAATCTTTTCTTCCCGAATTTATGTAATGTACCAAAAATCCCCTGTTATATAGGTAAACAAGCAGTTTATCCACCCAGCAAACGCCTTATATACGTTGTGAGAGAGTGACTTTTTAAAAGTATGTAATTCGCACCATATTTAGCAGCATTTCTTTTTTTAAATGTTAGGAAATGACACTTTTCAAATGTATTCGCTCTCCCCAGAGATACCCAGTCTGTGTATACAGTTTGTATATATCTTAAGTGCATGAGAATTGCTAATTGCTAAGCAAAAATAACTGATATTGATTAGTTTATTCCGCGTGCAATAGCAACCAAAGGTGGTTTGCTGGATGGAAAGTTCAAATTTCTTAACAGTCACGGAGATTGACGTTATAATGAAACCTGAATGTCTGTCCAGTTGTGTTTATATATGTTATCAGTATTCAAAGTAGATATCCTAGTTTAAAGCTAAAAAATTAAGAGCGTCCTGATTTAGCCGATACCCTATGGCAAGTGGACAGACAAGATTAATTAAAAGTCTCCTTACTCAATTACTATCCCAGAACGGGACGCAGTACTCGACTGTTAAGTCAAAAACTTGTGGCTATATTCATATGCAAACTTGTCGCATAGTTTCTGTTATGCTACGTATAAAAGTTTCCAAGAGTGTATAATTAAGAAACTAAAACATAAATATTGTTCCCCTTGCCAGTTAAAATGCATTCTAATCGCTGCAGAGATCATAAAAACAGTGTAGGTTGTGCAAAAAAATCTAAAAATACCATAATTGGTATATATGCACAAGATCATACCTGCATGGAGTTCATTGGCTGTGTAACTATTAACACTTCTGGCATTTGAAAATACGTTTCCCCCTGCATGTTATTATAACAGGAACATGCACAGAGCAAAATGCTATGTTTATTTTGATATACTATACTGTAAGTGCAAAAGTATTTTTAAATCTCGAAAGCTTTATTAGTTGCACAGCCGCTGAAATTCTAATGTATGGTCTCCTGCATATACAAATTATGGCATTTGCAAATTTTGTAACCCTATATGTATTCAGTCGAGGCCTGTTGGACATTCTCTGATGAACTTGTAGTTATGTCAACGAAGTTTGTTAATGAATTAGATTCACGGTGATAATCGTTTGTACGCCGTATTTGAAATATGGTATCGTCATTAGGGCGAAACTTACGGTATGAAACAGGGCCGTCTGGAAGGAGATATATTTTATTTGGGGGGGGGGGTCGCATATTCAGTTCTTCCTGGCGAATTTCTTTTGGGAGCACAATCGTCGACGAAAGAAATCCGTCGAGCAGAACAAATACCAATAAACACCCCCCACCCCTTCACGCCGCGCAATACATCGCATATACGTTACCGTCCTGATATGAAAAAATATTTGTTGAAAGGTCCAACGTGACTTAATGAAACGTGAAATTAATATTGAGTTTAGAAACTCGCATTACTAGATGGTTGGAGTGGATTTCTACTTGCAAAAAAATTAATATTTTGTTTTAAATTTTGGCTGTATAAATGAGTTTAACTTGACTACACCTGGTTCAACATGCAACAGTATCAACTTTTCTGCAGATGGAAATCCACTCTTATTAACATCTTTTTACAAAAACTTGCCGAATCTTCTTAACATAACCGTTGAGGGCTACTCTGTCCTTCGACATCTTGCTGGACACCGGCGAATTTGTACAGGATGAAGGTAGTATTACGTTAATACAAGGAATCCGTATTAGAGGACCGCGGCTTTTTGATCTTGTCCAAGTTTTTGGTAATAGCATCATGAAGACACAGCTAGAAACATTCAGAACCAGATTGAGCTACTTGAATGTACTCTAGTTTAACTATATATGCTAAATAACCTAGCTTGTGAATGTCTGTCTTCATGTGACACCTCGCCGCTTAACTTACGTAATGGTTTTTCAGTTCGCAACAACACAGCTTCAAGCTGATATACTCCTTCTCATCCAATTCTATCACGGTTCTTCTGTAGTCCATCTGGCAAAAACCGAATTAAACATTAACGCTGTAACAGAGCCAAAGGAATCAGAAGCTGAACACGGTTCCAAAACGTTTGCAAATCGATTTCTTTTTGCATGCAGCTCCCCAAAATCCAACGGGTCAATCGACTCAATCTCGCGATACACAAACATTCAGCGGATGATAATTTATACATATGCACTTACAATATGAGGATATTTGACGACTTTCGAAACAACCTTCCCTCGTGTGATAAAATACCTAAAACAAAACAAAATAATGCTGAATATGGCTAAAAATATGACTTGTAGTGATTTATTGATATATTTAAAGTAAAAATGTTTTGGACACTTTAAAAAATATTTTCCATGATAACCCTCCCGCCCAAAAACGCAATTTTTTATATATATTGTTTACTGTATTCTTTTTAGCGTAGTAAGATGTGTACATAAATTGTACAAAATAATGGATAAAAGTCAGACAGGACTGTATTTTTAAAACACTAAAACGACTGTCACAACTATCGTGTTTGCATTTAAAACTACGCCGCAAATGAAACGCGATGAAACGCTACGAAAGTTGAACCATTTTATTATAATGCTCATAGCAAACAAGCGGCTCGTCCATTTTTGGCACAATACTCAAACATCACTCGTACTATTAATCCCGAATTGTACTAGATTACGACCACCTATACTTATTCAAAGGTAAATGAAATATATAAATGAAATAAACCATCTTAGTAATCGAATGAACGTTTTTATTTAGTTGGATTTTAACAAATTCAAAACTGATGTGATTTTCACCACCAAATCAACGACCATAAATTGCTTTTACCTCGAGATTTGGTCCAAAAATGATGCTGCTTCGGCCTCAATTCGTGTGACCTCGCCGAGGACGTCTTCCTAACCAGGAGAGGTAGAATGTATATCACGAATCAGCCAAATGATTTCAGTGATTGAATTAGTGGAAATGCCCTACCCATGATAGGGCGTTTAAACCTTGACACACAATAAACTAACCGTATGATTTGTACGGTACTTTATTTCTAATCATTATGATACAAAACTAAACTCTTTTCTAGCCCAATATATAAATGCATTGCCCCATTTTCAAGTGCGTTCGTTTTTTGAAATTGCTTGAATCGAAACTTACATCAACGCAACTTTCATTGTAAAGGAAAAACATTATAGATTCTTGGGAAAATAATATGTAAATCATAGGTCTGGACGTTACTTGAATAGAAACTCCAAAATTGTTTCCATCTTCAATCCGTGGAATTAGCAGTTGAATCCAAGTTTTAACCTACATTAAGCAAATCGAATATCCATTTAACATAAGCTGTCACGTTTATGAAATCTACTAAAATCTTTACATATCTGTCTATTCCCCGAAAATTTTACTGGTCGGTGGTTTCCTGGAATGTCAGTTTCCTTAATTATTATTTTAGCTACTGCATGCCTCATTAAATTTTAGACATTCATGAGCCCCAGAGTTGCAAAAAGAGTTGAACCTTCCTCCGGTAGGATTTCAAAACCGTTTTTAAAATGACGTTACGTCACTGAGGCAAGTGGCAACCAGCATAAAGAAATAGTTGGTACCCACGTACCCGCAGTTTTTTTTGCAACTCTGACGAGCCCGCAGCATAATTTTGTTCGAATATTATACCATAATAGCGTACTCATTCTACTACAACCAGAAAAACCGGATTGTAATCATGGTCAACTTTTAAGCTTTTCTCATGCATTAAAAAGGGTTACGTTAGCTTCTGCGCTCTGCCCATTGATTCTGCCAATTACAATGGTAGGCTACTTCATTTTAAATTGCTGAAATCTAGCATGTTTTTTCTATTTATAAACATAAATTAGCATAAACTCCGTCTTATGTTCATGTTTATTCATAATCATAGCGAACCAAAAGAGTGTTAAATACTCTGATTGTTCTTGATATTTTAAGAAATATTGTGATTCAAAATGTATACCATGTTACATTTTAGGGACTGGATACCCCATCTTCACTAGTCTACAGGTCTATCGGAGAAATTACTTCAAAATTTTATAATAAAATAAAATCTTACTGAATTACAGCTCTCCATCAAATCTTGAATTTCTGGTTTCAATGATTCAATAAGTTCCACAAGAATCTGAGAAACAAAATGTTAGAGTCAGCTTCGTTTTGTTTTTACTCCCACGTAGTTCATTGAATTTTAGCTATTTGAAACGTCATGTAATATCTTTCGTAGCACCGCATTCTACTTTCAGTTCCGTCGCAAAAACTGAGCTCGGACATAAGTAGGCAATATCGTCCTAATAGATATTATAGATGCTAAACAGTTTGGTCAGGCCATTTGGTGCTACCGTGAACTTTCCACGATCACGATTAAAAACTATGAGTTAGCTTGTGGTGGAAGACTTTATCATATATAGACTACCATCATAAATAACTAAAAATTTCAGCGGATGGGGTCACACAAAAAAACTATACTACACCCCACCTTGTTTGGAGGAATTGCTTTGAGAGGTCCTGCAAAACATAAAAGGCAAACATATTTCAATTTAATATTCTTGGTGTACCTGCAAGCGAATCTACTTATACAATTTATTTATTACACTGTGTTTACTTTTTAATTCTATTACAAACTCATTGTATCTTTTGTAGCTATGTTTCACTAAATGCAAGAGGAGTCAAGAAAAATATAGTGCAAGTCACAAGTTACATTCTATTTTGTTAAAAATAACTTTTTAAAACTGTTTAACAAATTTTAATAGAGAATATTATGGCGATTAAAATGAGTTAATCAAAGGTCATCATAAGGGAATCAAATACTGCAATATTGAGTTATACTTTTTATGTATATTATCTAGGAACTCGTAGCATAAATGTATTGTGGTATTCTATCTTCTATTGGTATTATAATTAATTTTTACTTTATCTTTCTTCTTTCTGTAAATAGTAGTACTCTAAAAATTATTTTGCTGATTTTGCTGATTTGATTGTACATATATGATTAATATAATTGAACTTTAACTAGGGGCCTAAATTGAAAAGCCTGTCAAGGTTTCTAGTAGGTCTCTAGCCCAAGTTACTATAGAAAACTTATTAACAGGTATAGATGAAACTGTACATAGGGGAAAAAATAATAAAAAAAAATACGCAATCCATGCATGTGAACCATTGTGACCAATTTCTCAATTGCTTTCCAAAACCTCACAATTATTTAGAACAGGGACTATATGGTCTAACGATATGGAAGTTGACCATATGACATATATCTAAGATATGGAAGTTTAATTTATCTTTAATATGGGTAGAGAAACCTTACCATTCTGCACAACAATATTATTCACAGGTTCTTCTCCCTCAATCTTTCTCTTCTTTGGTGAAGGCTGAAAAAAAAACAGTTTTGCCATACTTCGCCATATAACTAGATTTAGTCATTCACTGAACCACAGTTAATGGAATACTATGGAAAAGAGATGAAGGTATTGGAGGTGTATGGAATGGAAACGAAATGGAGGTATTGGACTCATTTCGTATCAACTGAGCGCGAAGCCTTTACCAAGAAATATTTTTATACAGACCAAGCTCGTGGGGCGAGATTTGTACAAATGACTGAAGTCCAATACTTCTCGGTAAAGTCTGAGTATAAGCAAGAAGTTTATTATATTGGAAGGGGCAACAGGAAATGAATGAATTCATTGGTATCGTGGTCGGCATTTGATAAAAACAAGAACAAAACAATGCACCATTTTTAACTGAAAAAGTTTACTGAAACCTTATAATTATACAATATCAATTCAGGTTCATTATTTACCGTTTTACATGAAGTATTAAAATTTGCATGCGCATTCTGATTGGCCTTGTCAGAAAAATGTTACCAAATATTCCAATTGTAAAAAAATTGACAATTTTGCCGATTTTAAAACGAAATTCCTCCTTGTTTTAGAATACCAAAACGGTCACGCGACCATGCAAAAGCTGTTTACATGTTGTGATACAACGCTATTTAAATCAAACATTACTGGAAATGTGAATTTCTATTTCTTACAAAATTCTAGACAGTTTATCTAAACAGATTTCATAATTTCTAAGGTAATTATATCATTTACTAAAAGTTTCAATTCCTTTTATTTATCACTCTCATGCAGCTAGCCGTCTGATTGATTGGTTCATACAAAAAAATTATTCTTTCCTATTGGCTGGATATTTTTAGTTGATCATGATAATTTTAGTTTCATACTTTCATCTCGAACCCCAACTCGGCAGGATGCACGTGTACTTGACGGTCTGTTCTGGACCCTGATCGTAGTTGCGATAGACGGAATATTTATCAGAACTCCGGGGAGAAATATTTTTTAAAGATGATAGGAGTTTTAGATCTCAAAATACGTTTCGAAAAAACCCGAAATATTCTGTTTGGCCTTCAGGTAATTCAGGTAAATATGTTCTATTCTAATCAGATTTACACTGCAAAATCTGTGTATATAATCTGTGTATTAATATGGAAACGATTCGACGCGTGACGCCATCGTTTTCCGGCAAAACCGTCCACACGTATCCGCTCAGCCATCGTTTTCAATTCTTCCACTCTGGAGAGCGTTTTCAGATTCTTCCGTTTTCAGTGGGCGAAAACGCCGGACACGTGTCGGTTTGGACGGTAGGCGTAACCGTACGAATATTGATGTGGCATCGTGAGGACGGGCCACAAATTTATCAAGAGTCAGATTAAACGTGTATAATCGTTTATTTTAACCTGAGTCTGATCAATATTAAATTTGTGTTTTTATGAATGAAATCTATTTACCATTTTATTGCATACTATTGTGTACATGTGATTGTGCTATTAAAACTGAAAATGAAATCTTGAGCAAAAGCATAACTTTTATATACAGTGATTTTGATGGTATCCTATCTGACTTTCGCCTTGATAGCCACAACATTGTAATTTCAAAATGAACATTATAAAGTGAAATTTCAAACTATTACAAGGCCATCACATGTGCAATTACAAATTATCACTTCCACTTCGCAGCAGTGCTTATTGCAATCACACACTACCACAAAACTAAACTCCACTTAGTGCAATCATGCACCATTCTAAATAATATGTACCTGAAAATCATTTGCCAAGACCAGGGGATGTACTATTGGCACATTTAAATCACCATCAATTTTCTTTAGATCTTCAATGTTGAATTTGTCTTTCTGTTGCGAAGAAAAAAATAAAACATAATATATATGCTTACCAAAAATCATCCACCACAGTCTGTTTTATCAGGTCTTCTGACAACTTATTTGCACATGACTTTCCTCATAGGGAGATAGAAATGACAAAAGAGGGAAACAAAGAACTTTTGAACAGAATGCATATGTACTTTGCAGTTGTCATTTCAATGGAAATTTCCCTTAATTGTGGAAGCCCTGAATTATATGTATATGTATATAGAAGTATTGCTCACCAAAAAGGTCCACTACTGTCTGTTTCATCCAAATAGACCTGAGGATCCCGATATGAATGAAACAGACAGTAGTGGACAGTTTTTGGTAAGCAAGTATTTTGTAAATCAAACGTGGTACATATACATTTAGGGAGTTGTCATACCCCATTCTGTTCATTTTGGAGAAATTATTATCTGTACTGCAGCAGAATTAACAATAATGTACACAGACAATTAAATATATACACACCAAAAACTCATTGAGGAGAACAACTTTAGTAGGAAAAACTTCCTTTATCAATTTTTCTGTCTAAAAAAAAGCAATGAGTAAATTGACTAATGCTGTTGTTGTGCAACTGTACATTTCTACTTTTTTGGCAGGGGCAACCAGATGAAAATGTAAACTTGCCTTTGTAAAGGCAAGTTTTCATATGAGAAATTACAAACTTGATAGTCACCTCAGGTATGATTTGGAATTGAGAGCATACATATGAGGAAGTATGTCCCAGAAAGAAGGAAAATGTTATAATGGTTTGCATCCTGAATGCAGGATCACACAGTTGCAATACAATCACAAAGATGTATTATTGCATTAATAAAGTGATTGATTTTAATTGACCAAGGGAAGGATGAATTACACCTCATGAAATGTACAAATGAATGATTAATTGCACTGCTCAATGCCTAATAAAAATTGCAGTATTTCCTTTTTGTTATAGAAGGCATGTACAGTATACCATTATTATAAAAATTGATCAGACGTTTGGAATGATTAAATTGTGAAAAATTATGACCAAAATAATTACCTTATCTGTAAATTCATCGCGGTACTCTTTCACCTACAACCAGAAAATACGATTATACTAGGAAAAGACGTTGATTCAAAATTTACACCACTGTTTATAAACACATACTTTATAATATTAATAACCACGTTGTTTAGGAAATTTTGCAGGTTAAAATTTGAGAATTCGTCTAGATTCGTACCCACAAAAATATATCGATTCTAAAGATTACAAACCTTATCAGCAGCACAAGCCATAAAACTTCGAAAAAAGAATCAAGGAAAGAAATGTAAAGATTTATTAAAAGTATATATAATAATGTTCGTAAAACCGCCAAGACCCTTCTTCCCTCAATCTTTGAGGCGAAAGTGAATTTATATTGCGGGCTCAGTGGAAGCACCGCATGAAAATTAGATCATCAGGAAAAGGAATATTTTTGAGAATTTTTTCACTAAACATATTTATTTGTATTAGATCAGACATTTTCAAATTACTTGTAGGCGCCTGCCAAAAGGTTTTTCTTTTTTTTTGTATTCAATTATACAAGGCTTGAATTACTACAAAAAAGGCTTATTTCATCTGAAAGTTTAAAAAATACTGCGTGTAAGATAATTAAACGGTTAGATTGATTTTCCAGCCGATTTCCAAATTACTGCAGCTGTATATATGTATAAAAATGGCAATATTCGTGCTCGGTACTACCACATTATTATACATTACATTGACAAATTGCCAAAAAAATTTTCGGCCGCCAATTTTGGGCCGCTTATGGTACTACTTCTAGTGAACTGAATAGCTTTGGAACTGAACTGAACGAAATAAAACAATAGACACAGCAGACAATTGAAATAGTCTCATAGCCTTGTAGTAATACTACCAATCTCTAGGAATTATAAAGAAATATGAGGAATCTTCAAGGTTTTCTAAAAATAGGCAATTTAAAAATCTCTAAAACAGTTTAAAAATAATTACAGCTATGTGTTGATTACATTAGAAAGCTGAGTGTTGAATTGACTGGAACATAAGAGAATATCGGTGGTATATAAATATGATGTCCGTAATGTTAACAAGCCCTTTGTTTTCTCACTCAATTTGAGCTGCTACAATTAAAAAATATGATGTACTCTCTGGATTCTAACACTGAACAGCGTTCCACTAAGCTCAGTTGTATTTTGATCAGCATACCCGCTGTATTTAATCGTTTATGCGCCCCCTAAGCGCTCCGTCGTCATAACACATTAATTCCGTCTTGAACAATTTTACAAATGAAATATTTCTGGACAACATCGCTCTGTACAGATGCAAAATTGTAATAGTTTCAATATTACGTATATATAAATCGTACGCCAGTAATATATATGTATATTATTCATGGTTGGCGAGAGCGCACGATTTTTATGCACGAGTAAAAGCCGGTTTTCAACTAGCGATATTTTTCGCGCGAAGCGACTTTATTCCTTTGTATTTGAGCAATTTGTTCCAGATGGTTGCAGTTGAGAGCTCTGAAACAAAAGTAAAATGTCGCTTCGGATACATCGCATACTGAAAAAGATATTGCTAGAAAGCAAAATAACTCTTTTTTCTTGCTATTTAAAAATCATTGCACTCAATATTCATGTGATGAATTAAAGCAGGTTAAAGTCGTGATTTTGTCTTCGTTGGCATTTCCTGTATAAATAACCCTAATAACAGACAATAGCTTATTGAATGCAAATTTATACCTCTTTTGCGAGATAATCGTTTAATTTATTGGCCTAAACTATTTTAAAAAATATAAATTCATTACAGTTTCACAAAACTACATTATATTAGGTATCAAATATCAATCAATCAGCTACGGATTGTAACATCAACTTGCATGCAGGCAGCGGCATGAAAATTCAAAGTTAACAATCTGCGCTAGGGTCCAGCACGCAGAGAATTTGGCCAGTACTCTTGCAAAATTTCCTAGAAATTTAGAAGAAACATTGTACATTGATGACAGAATTAAACACGAAACATAAACGATAAGAATAGTTCATAGTGAATATATAACGATCCAGATTATAATAGTTCGCCATGTTCAAAAGAAACCTTCGAAAGACTTATAGAGGCCACAACAGGGTTGGAGTCTTAGACGAAGTGCGGATACGAATCTAGCGCTTCCAAAATCATGCAAAACATTTTTTCAAAGTAAAGTTTTAAATAACGTATAGATATTTGCATAGGAATAATCTTCGATGCACGGATAGATGCCAAAAAATGTCGCTCAATCAGTTTCAGCGCGTTATTGCGAGCTAAATATGTATAAATATATAAGTCAGCAATCTAGACTATAGGTCTATTATTCCCATTTTTGTACGTTGAATCTTTTCTGTTTGAATGAGCGACGTCCAACGTACGTGAAACTCTATACCGCCCAATTATTATTAAACAACTCAATTCATGGAATTACTTAAACCAGGAGTTTTTAAAGCAAACATGCGTAATTGTCTTGTAGGACAGCAAAACTATTTTCACATGCAAACATCCTACTATATGCTACGTTGTATAGGTTAAGCTATTAAACTGTCATCAAAAGCTTACCATACGCATGTGGGATCAGGGCGAATATTTCTATCGTCCAACTTTCTTTTATTCGGACTTTTTTTTCGACCATCTTTCTTGACCTGTCAGGAGAGGAGAATTTCGTATTAAATGCTGAATTGAAGTATTTTCGAAATATTTATAAAATAAACGGGTTTTTTGCGAGCCGTCGGTGGTTCCGCAATTCTGATTTTGTGGATCTTCAGGATTGGGGGTTTTTTGACTTCCCATAAATATAGAGTCACGGTCGGTACGCGAATCATTATCGTAAAAATGTTGTATATCAATTTCATTGATTCTACTTCAGTAGGCTACATGTCCAATTAAACAAAATGGCGGAACGATATTCACATGCTGCAAATTTAAACAGTTTGACTTATCTATATATTCGCCGAGTTATAATCCCGGTGTCTTTGTTGATTTATTTCATGGTGAATTTAGACGGCTATATAGCTACGAGTAGCTAGAGCGATCTTAAAATTACTTTCGCATTCAGCCACACCGGACGTACAACTAACGTAACAAAGGTCTTTGATAATTTAAGATATATAATAACATATGTAAAAGAAATGACGTGAACTCATCAAACTATTCAAGAAATTAAGGAAGGAACAAAATTATATTTCCTTTCATCAGTTGAAAGGAAAAGGACGTGATTCCTTTTCATGAATAATTGCACGTCGTGATCTAATACTAAGTAATAGGTCTAGCTAGCTTAATAATTGTATATGTATTCATGATACTATCAGTTTGCGGATTATTTCCAACTGTTTTGCTCTACTTGCACTGAATGTCAGTACTATTTTTCAAATAATTTGACGGGGTTTTAAATATGGACGAGAGGTTCTGGGGAATTCAGAGAATGCGATATGTTCATCGGGCCATTTTTAACCTTTCAAATAATCTGAATGGCATATTCTGTATATATTTCAAACATACCTGTTTGTTCAAATCATATACATCATTAATTTTGGCGTCGTGGGCCTGAATGCTTCCAGCAGTCAACAGAATTATATAGATAACCAGCAATGTCATTACCGCATTTGTGAATACCATATTTTTCTTGCAACTGTAAAATAATGCTATTTAAACGATTTGAGGTGAAACTGTTAATCTTTAAAATGGATACCTGTGTTAAAGGCATTCTCTCTTACATGTTAACACTTTCCTGATGTTTGTCAATCAAAGTAATTTAATCAATGCACCGATTGCATATAGACGCCGATCTTTACAAATCTACCTACCTGCACACGGCCTGTAGCGAATGAACACTGGACAACCTATATAGTGACCGACTTGATGTTCGCCAAATAAACATTCGAGAAAATATTAACATAACCAAAACGTTCAATAAGTACACTTAATGACCTTGATGTTTTCGACGTCCGGCATTTAGCGCATGTGCATGTCACAATGATATATTATGGTGAATTTCCGTTTCATTCTTTCCAGATTCTCAGTATAATACTTCATCTCAGAAATATGACATGTAGATTACGGCATGTAGATCTTTAAAAGGGGGAATTGGAGAATCGGAGAGTTGGGAAAACGAGAAGTTGGGGAATCGAGGAATGGGGCTCATAATTTGAAACTGAATTAAACTGTCCAATCATGGCCAAAGAACAAACTATATACCAAAGAACATTTTGTGATGAAAACGCGTTTCATGAAATAGGAAGTTTTTTGACTAAAATGAGAACAAAAACTCTCTGTTTGACAACATTTACATCAAGCCGAATACAAACGGAGGCACGTAAATTGAAATTTATTGGCAGTTTTCAAACAGTTAATCTTAGATAAAGTGTTTTGGAACCTCACAAATTTTAATTAGCATTTGTCTGTGTTGGGACATCCGCGCGTCCCAAGATTTTAGTTGTTTTTTTCGGCGGAGACTTGAATAGTTTTTTCTTTATGTCCCGAACTTCTGTTTAGTATTTTATTTAGTATATTGTTATTTTTCGGAAATCTTTTCAATAAAATTGTAAAACCAGCGTGCGTGTCGGTTCTGTGTTAGAGAACAGACTATAGTAGCTAGTTCACTATAATCGTTTACTTGAGGATGATTGAAGAAAGGTATCCTTCGAGAACAAAATTACAAAAAGGTATCCTCCTGTTTTTTGAAGGGTATTGGCAATGAAAATTTAGTTTACTCCATTAAACCACATAGCGATATATAAAGAGTAGTTGTGTGTGGGGTCCTCAAAACCACACATATATTAAGAAGAACTAGCTAAGAAATGTTAATCCAAGATTAACCAGGCTACCAGCTCACTGATTTCGGTTACAATGTTTCAAAAGCCAGGCAAGATTTGAAAAATTGGTAAAACAATCGTATGCATAATTTTACCTGCTCTTTTGTATGAAAGAAACTAAATATTCGCGGCCAATATACCCGAACTGATGAGATCAGTAATAGATATTTTTGACACACTTTTTAGTAATATTGATTAAAATTCACTTTATTAAACTTTCGCAGGCCGCAGGTGCATGTTTTAATTTAGATCCTATTCTCCCGTCGCGGAAACTCGAACTAAACATGGACAAATACGATTTAAGGTATCTCTCAATCAATTTAACACTTTACGCTGGCATTGCATCGCATTTGCTTCTGTTTGTCTGCTTTATAAAGGATCCTTTAAAGTGTTTTAGGAATTCATCGACTTATCTCGTCATGAGTCTAGCTGCGTCTGACTTCATTGTGAGCTTTGTTATTTCGATGGATTTCATGACATCATCTAGTTCTAGACAATTAAAAAACACGTATTACATTTTATCGGATGGGGCTGTGTTGACTTCACTGCTCTCTTTACTCTCCATTGCAATCGATCGGTATATACTGACAGTATGTCCATTCAAGCATCGCTCACTGATCACTAAAAGACGAATAGCTATGTGCATTGGATTGATTTGGATTATAGGCACCTTCGACGTGGTTACAGAGTATATAGGCCTATTTTACGCAAATAAGGTTTACAATATATCAAACGAAGCGATGAAAATTGTCATACCATTGCTCGCTGGCATTATATATGGAAAAACTTATAATTCTTTAAGAAAAGAAGCACGGATTATCTCTCAGCAAAATCGCGCTACCAGGCAAATCCTTACACAGGAGAAATTTTTGAAAACAATTATCATCGTCACATTTATTCAAGTATTATCTCTGGTTCCAACAACGATTTATTATATGGCTTCTGGCATGTCGAAAGAATCGGGTCCAGTTATAAAATTCATCTTTTTCCAATTGTACTGTCTGAATTTTGCCATAAATCCTTTTTTGTATGTATGGCGACTGAGAAACTATAGACAAACGTTTCATTTGGTTTACTGCAAGATATTGTGTTGATTAAATGAGAGGCGAAAACTGATGATAACGATACTGTATGCGCGGGACGTTTCGGCGACACGAACAAGATTCCTTTGTTTAGCTTAGTTTTTAGTTTCTGTAACACAACAAAACAAAGAGTTTAAAAACAAAGAAAAAGGATTGGAATTTTCAATACAGGCAGGCGTGCTAAAACTTGAGCGGTGAAATCGGATCTTGCACGGATCTGATTCGGATTGTGAAACAGTGCGCAATGTATAGAGTTGTATAATGCATTATGTTAAAATGCGTATGTTAGAATTTAAAGAAATATGAAAATACAAATTGACTTGTAAGAATATAAAGCGGTCAATATAAAAGGAGACCTAACACAGTTTCTGATCAATGTATTGGAGTAATATTAATTTTTGTACCACAGTGCAATGACAATGTACTGTATATATAATATATATACACGCTCCCGAGGGAAATAGTGCATGAATTTTGTTTTCCTAAACATTGAGATTCGAGGGAAAACAAAACTGACTATTTCCCGGGGTAGTGTACATTAAGTGTTTTGTTATACAGGAACAAAAACATACATGTAACACAACAATTTCTTTTCAAAAAAACACGTTGTTATGACAATATGCGGGCAACAATTTTTCACTTGTTTTCCTGGCGGGAAACACTGGATTTATATTTAAATTCATGTGACTACGAATGAACCAATCACATGCATTTAAAATAATACCTATATAACAAATTATAATCATCCATGTACGATATAAATTAAAACTGAACACCATTAATTTTGCTTTGTTCCAAAAGGACAAAGGGGACGATGGAATACATGCAGTGTTTGATGATGAGGCGTCACTCTTCAAACTGTTGATTTTTCTTATAGGTGCATGAGTATAGGTGTTGTTTCACACGTACCGTTTGAAACGTTTTATTAATACGTATATATAATAATAAATATAGTAAATAAGCTTATGATTCGACTGACATTTTAATTAAAACTTTTGAAAAATAAATATAAAAGAAATTTTGAACAAAACATTTGTAACGTTTCGATTGAAACTTATGGATTGGCAACAGCTTTTCGAACGTCTTAAAATACGATCGTGATTAATTTCAATCTCATATGTGCATGCATGCATGCAAACATACGAAAATATATCAACTTCCATTGTGCAGGACAGTATATTGGAACGTTAAATTAAGTGCTGTAATTACTCTTATCATAAGATTTTTAGTCGCGTTTGAATAACTGCCCTCACAGGACAAGCGTGCATGTGTGCAATATATATATTTTATGCAGTTGGGGAATTCTGGTGATCGAAGCTTCAAAAATTAAAAATTGATTTCAAACAATTTATAACTTATTTCATGCTATCAGTAATTATTAGAATCTTTAATCGACCTAGCATTATTAACCTATCTTTATAATGAGGTTTTATATATAATTGCACGCATGTCTACATAACTATTGCATGCATGCATCATCATATCTTTACATGTCTTCATATTAATCTTCCGTAGATTGAAATCTAATATATCTCACTGTGCATGTGAATATCAATATGGTGGGCTTAGAGGTGTAGTATCTTCCAATCCATTTTGCACTTTGTGCTGGTATGGCATGTGTCACATTTACATTTAAGAATTTTTTCACTCTATATGCAACGCAAATCAACCGAGGTTAAAAATCTATTTAAAGCCGAGCATTTTAAACCGGGGTTAGCCTAATTTAAATAACATCCTGGGTTTTAAAAAATCCTTCTTTACGGGAGGGTTGTGGCTTACTTATCGCATGCATGCATGCTTGTCTTCTCAATTCAGTCAATTGTTATTAGACGTCTTTAATTAATCTATCCATCATTAATAATCGATCTTTGATATAGGCGTAATATGGCGTGTTCATTCTATAGGTATAGATGACTTCATATATTAGTGTTTCGTAGATGATTAAAATCCATTCTGTCTCCGGTTGTGAATATCAACATTGTCGGCTCAGGGTTCAACTTAGAGTTGAAGTATCTCCCAATGCATTTTACGCTTTGTGTTGGAATTGTGTCACATTTACTTTTATTTGTTTGCCTTCTAAAAGATCCCTTGAAATGTTTCAGGAATTCTGCGACATATCACGTAGCGAATTTAGCTGTGTCTGATTTCATAGTGTGCATCTTTTTTTCAGTACAAAAGGCTTCTTCTGAAAAATTAAAAAAGGCTTCTTATGTCGTCGTGAAAATGTTTATGTTAATATCACTATTCTCTCTTTTCTCCATTGCAATCGATCGGTACATTTTGACAGTACATCCATTCAAACATAGGGTACTTATAACCAAAAGACGAGTGGTTATTTGGATTGGATTGCTATGGGTTTTGAGTATATTCCAACTGGCTATCGAGCTCACATTGGATAACAACAAGATTTACGTTGCCGCATACGAAGTGGTATTTATCATTATTCCTCTCGTCAGCGGAATGATATACGGAATGATCCATATTTCGTTAAGAAGGAAAGGACGGATTATTGCGCAACACAATCGCTCTCGCACAGAAGTGCTTGCTCGAGACGAATTTTTGAAAACCATTACAATCGTCGCGATTATTCAAATTTTAACTCTGGTTCCAGCAGGTGTTGTTATTCTGGTTGATAGAATGTCGACAGATCTACAGACAGTTTTATATAAGGTTATTTTTCAAATGTACTGTTTAAATTTTGCAATAAATCCCTTCTTGTACGTATGGAGACTGAAGAACTACAGGCGAACTTTTCGTTTAATTTATTGTAAGAAATTTTGTTAGATGGGAATTTGAAGGATATTATTAAGTTTAATCGAAAGTTTTTAGTATATTTTCTGCTTGATAATAAATGAGCGTTTGATATATAAGTAATAAAAACCATGTAACCCGTTTGAAAAATAGGAGAAATTAATGTTAGTATATATGCTAGCTTTCATAAATGTTATTCTTTCCGTATTCCATGCCTTTTAACAATATTGACTTCATTCCTCTAAGAAACAAATTTCAAAAATAAAATTAATTGTACAAATTTAAAGACAACCTCGACCGACTGATTTGCAAGTGAAATCACCAAACGAGATGAACTAATAGTTTGGGCACCTTTTATAACCTTGGATTAACGTAACGTGTCTTTGTGCAACGTAAATCAACCGAGGTTTAAGATATAACCAAAGCTGAGCAGTTTAAGCCTGGGTTAGCTTTTACATGATATTGTGAACCTTCTCTACATGAGGGTTATCGCATATTTGTCTTTTCAATTAAGTCAATACGTTATTACAGTAAAGATTCAGTAAATAATTTCGAGATAACGTCAAGTTTGCGGGGGCCCCGAAATTTTTTTCGTGTTTAGGAACAGACTCTAGTTCATAATTTAAACCATGGGGACCAATAATGTGTGAGATAAGCTGACAGTACGTCGTAACAAAAAATCGTTTGTTTACATTACGTCTGTGTCGGCTCTAACTTATCTATCCACATTAATAAACAATCTTTATTACATTTTATCTTTCATGTTTACCCCCTTTCAAGCTCACGTTTAAATTTATCTTTCGTAGCCGTTTTAAAGGCAATTGCTCTTTGTTAATACTAACATGGCCAACTTCGAGTTAAAGAGACTCCCGATGCAAATTGCATTGTGTGTTGGCATTGTGTCGCATTTGCTTTTATTCATTTGCTTGCTGAAAGATCCGTTGAAATGTTTCAGGAATTCTGCTACATATCTCGTTACGAATTTAGCGGTATCTGATTTCCTGGTGTGCGTTGTTGTTTTTGTGTCGCAGGCAATGCCGACCGAAAAAATGATGGACGTTTATATATTAGCGAGAACGTTTATGTTAGTATCGTTGTTTTCTTTATTATCCATTGCGATCGACCGTTATATTTTGACAGTACATCCATTTAAACATCGCGTACTAATAACTAGAAGGCGAATAGTCATCTGGATTGGGTTAATATGGTTTATAAGCATGTTTCACCTGTTGAAGGAGCTGAAAATTGACGCCAACCAGATATACGATACAGCATACGAAACTTCATTCATTATTATTTCCTTGGTTACAAGTATTGTGTATGGAACAGCCTATAATTCTTTGAGAAGAGAATGTCACGATATCTCGCAACAAAATCGTTCCCAAAGTCAAAGACAAGTTCTTATCCAAAAGGAGTTTTTAAAAACAATTATAATCGTCGTTTTCATTCAAATTTTTACCATGGTTCCAGCATCTATAAGTCATTTGGTTCATAACTTGTCGCAGGAACTGCCAGTTACACGGATTGTTTTGTTTCAAATGTTTTGCACGAATTTCGCAATAAATCCATTATTGTATATTTGGAGACTGAAGAACTACAGACAAACATTTCTTTTAATTTACTGTAAGAAATTTTGTAAGATGAGAAATTAATAAGAGATATTTCAAATTTTAACTATAATTATATAATATCGTACATGTTAGGCTATATATATACGGTATAGATAAAAGTTGACATAAAATTGTAAAACCGTATTGATAGTGTTTACTCGCGGTTGTAGACTAACATGTATCTAACATGCATGACATGAAGAGGAAGGATTAAGTTATGTTTGATGCACTTGTCAAGAATAGATCACTTTACTATTGTTGCATGACAGTTGGGCATTTAATGTTTGACAGGGTTGGACTGCGTTTCTCTACTCAATTGGTTCAGTATTCCATGCATTTATATGCAGTAATAACAAACCCCACGCCCAAAATTCTATTTGGAATTCACAGTCACAGACTACGTGTACAGTGTGTACATGCATGTTTGAAGATACCAAAGGAGATGAAAAAGTGGAAAACGGCAATGAATCTCATTGTTCAAAGCGCACTTTAAGATGTTTTGTTGTTACGACGCATGTATTTTGGAGTAAGGTGATATCACTGCATGCTTTCTTATACAACACGTTGTATTGAGGATAAAAATCATTATACTGTAAGAGCTAATATTTGAGTTGTAAAAAATCAATCTGGGGAACTGTGTCAGTCGTGGATTTGGTCGTATCCGGTGAATAAATATTATACTCGTCGAAACCTTCCGTCGCATAGAAGGCACTTTTGTCATTTAACTCTTGATTGAAGAAACGAGTTTCTCATTTATACTGGTGCAACACGATAAGGAGGATGAAACATGCAATTCGGCAATTGAAATTTGCCTTTCAACAATAAAACTTGTTATGTTTTGATAGGTATCGCTTGTGAATCTTAAATAATTAATTTTAATATTATAGAGATAGTTATTAGAAGAGTATTTTATCTTCATTAATACCCGAACTTTAATTATGCATTTCAATCATGTTTACTTCATATTGCATTGTTTCGATTAAATTTCCCGTAGCTGCATGTTTCATTTCGTGGTTATCAACATGGACCACTTTGAGCTAAAGTATCTTGCAATCTATTTGACGCTTTGTGCTGGTGTTGTGTCGCATTTCTTTCTGTTCGTTTGCTTGCTAAAAGATCCTTTAAAATGTTTCAGAAATTCTTCAGCATATCACGTCGCCAATTTAGCTATTGCTGATTTTATTGTGTGCATCATTTTGTCCACACAGTGGGCACCTTCTGGAGACTTCCAGAAAGTTTTTCGTGCCTCGTCGGAAACTTTCATGTTGATATCACTGTTATCACTGTTCTCCATTGCAATTGATCGGTACATATTGACAGTTCATCCATTTAAACACCGGACACTGATAACCACAAGACGAATAATCCTTTGGATTGGGTTATTATGGGTTATTGGCATCTTCCACTTGGTTAGAGAACTTGTATTGGGCAATGACAAGATTTACTATACAACATTTCAAACGTCATGTATCATTTTTCCTCTACTTAGCAGCCTGATATATGGGATAACCTACATTTCTTTGAGAAAGGCAATACGGATAATCTCCCAACAAAATCGCTCCCATACACATGTTCTCATCCAACAGGAATTCCTGAAAACGATTATTATCGTCGTAGTTATCCAAACTTTAACCCTAGTTCCAGCAAGTGTCTATCATTTGATCGATAACTTCTCGGGCGATCTTACGGTTCCGCAGAATGTCTTCACCCAAATGTACAGTTTAAATTTTGCAATAAACCCTTTCTTGTATATATGGAGATTGAGAAACTATAGAGAAACGTTTCGCATGATTTATTGTAAGAAATTTTGTTAGCTATAGCTGCATGGGAACTTTGTAAAAACTTGACATCAGGAGTAAATTTTAAACAACAATAATATTAATATCATTCCTTTACGATGTTTTTCATTGCTTCATTTTAAATTTTTAAGCTGCTTTTTTATAGGGTGGACTTCCAGAGAAAATTACAAAAAACAGTTCGCTAGAAAAATATATTTACATGGATATTTTCTTTTCAATTTTAACAGAATAAATAAATAGATTAGTTTAGCTTGACCGTTATCATTTGAAAGTAAAATATGCAAATATTTCGCTAGCGAACCATTTCTCCAAGTATTTTCCATGCAATCTATACTTAACGCTTTTCTTTGGCAATCGTGCTACATTCACTTTCGCTTACTCAGGCCTAGCCAGTATAACTCATTCTATATGGACAGTTTGAGCTGCCCTTTTTATGAACCAAAAGTGCCCTCTGGAAGCTGGTGACCGCCTCCCAATTCCTAGATGCTTCTTACGCCCCTGGCGCCTTTAAAGAGACGTACAGGGTGTCCTAAAAACGTGACACTAAATGTTTAGTGTCACCTTTTTGGAGGACCGCCTGTGTGAGTGTCACCATAAAAGAAAAGGTTCTCACATGATAGGAAATAAAAGCTATGGGCCGGGCACTTCAATATCTTTTTCCTTTCGTTTAATGTTCAACGTAATTGCTTGTGGTGTACTGCAATGGATTTGTAGCTAATTTGGCAGGGTTGTATGTTTTGCTGTTCGGTTTGTAGACACAAATTACCAACGGTGGAGAGCACACAACACATTTGACGATAAAAGAGAGGTTATTTAAGGGGAATTTTTTGCGACAACATGCATGTATAGAAGAGCAATGCGTTACACTTTCTTTAACCCGCGATAAGGCAAAGTTTGGACGTCGAACTTTTCATTTCAGTCTTCGTTTAAGCATTTGCATTCGAATCAACACATACATCAAAAGTTCGACGTCTGAATTCTGAAACAGGCCTAAAGGCTATTCTCCATTACTATATCCTCTTCACCCCCGCGGGCGGGAGTGTATTCAGGCAATTCAGGTAATTGCACTGATGAGGGCCCGGGTTAACGGACCGGAAAGCTTTGCATATTAAATACTTACGAGGCGTACCAACAAGCTAAATTACTTTGACTATCACCATGAAAACATAATTATACAAGATTACATGCAAGAATATTATAATTAATTAACACTTATTTACTGCGAACGAAGGAAACATTATGTTTGAGGACCTGTCGATATTTCACGAGGCGAAGCCGAGCTTTCCTTATAGAGCAGAGGAATTCCACCCCCCCTGTCAGTACGAAGACAATCGAGTCAGTACGATGACAATGAGTTGGACGATAGCTAGCAGGAGCTAGTACAGTCAGTTTTTACAACAGCTAGTATCTTTGTCCTTGCACCAAGACTCAGTAACGGCAACAAGCTCAGGTTTAACATCGCAAATATAATAATTTAAAACGGCTGATTTATTCTTGAGGAAGCGGGCATAAATTCATATATAGATTAATTTAAAACTTTTTTCACAATCTGTGTTTAACGGTTTCTTTGACAGTTGCTTCCAAGTAGGTCCCATGTTTATTTAAGGTAAGTCCCAAAATTTAAATCCTAGCTAAAAAACTTCTTCGATGAGTCATAATCATCAACCCAAGCAATACGTAGGTTATCGCATGCAGATAGAAGCAATTATTATATAGACAAAATATATAGACGAAAGGACTGTTTGATTTGACGAAGAGAAGAAAAATCACGGAGCTCTAAAGTCGCGTCATGCAGACACTTGTTCTCCAACATTTACATCCGGGCTTTTTTCTCATCGGTGAAATAGACTTAACATGAGTTAAAGACACATCACACGTGTTACAGCTAAATGGAAACGTGCAGGCTAAATAGAATGCTGTGTAATTTAAATGTGATTGGTTCATTCGTAGTCATATATCAAACAAAACTTTAAATCAATGCAATGTTTCTCGCATATTGTCATAACAAACAAAACAGCTATGGAGCCGAAAACTAAAAAATAACGTTTCTCAAGCTTGTCAAGCAATGAAATTCAATTTTTAATAAAAAAAAAAGATTCAGAAAACACTCGGAAGTCAACAAAAAATGCTGTGCCTTATAGTTATAGCATATAGCAACGCTACGAAATTTCTTCTGATTGACTGATTAACTCTGCCTCTCATTGTTAAGTGTTTTTATGAAATGAAATTGTTGTGTAGCATTATGTTTTTGTTCATATATAACAAAGCACTTAATGTTCACTACCTCGGGAAATAGTGAGTTTTGTTTTCCCTCGAGTCTCAACATTCAGACTAAACTCACTATTTCCCTCGGGACCATGCATTAAGTATATATTATTGGACATTTGTCCTTCTTTTATTATTTGCATCAAATTTGCTATGTCCTTAACGATTAACTTGAGCGTTGAATAATTTATTAATATGCCTGCCGGTGGCCGACTTCAGTTGAACCAAAGTTCAAATCTTCTTACACTATTATCACTGACGAATTTAAATGCACTTTAATCCACAAAAGAGCACACGTTTCATTATCTGTTAATCTATAGAGCTTATATCCGGCACGACTCTTTCAAAGAGCTTGAGTCAGAGAAGCGTTTTTACGTGTATATACTTCTAGCACAAATTCAGAATTATTTTGGAGCACGGATACATTTCTCGAATTCGGCGGCAAGACGAAATGGGATTCAGGCTTCTGACAAAGACAGTTTTTGACTTCTACGACAGGGCAATCAACGATGGAGGTGATTTATAGAAATAAAAATTCAAAGAAAATGATGATAAACTATTGATAGGTTTGACTTGTCGAAAGAAATTTTTCATCTGCATGGGCACTATCGATTAGCTCAGAATTCGAATTGCATGTATGTATGTATGTATATGAAATCTAAACAACAACTTCTATTTATCTCTTCGAAATCGTAACGCTCGAATCTTCTGGAAAATGAAAGGCATTATATGGCTTCATACATGAATGCACACCTTATAAATCCGAGATTTATATAAATTTGTGTTTAACTTTTCTTGCAGATCAAAGAACTTCCAAGTGGTTTTTAATGTCAACACCATGGACAGTTCTTTCATTGCTGTTTTTCTATATTCTCCTCGTCATTGTTGGTCAGCGAATAATGAGAAAAAGAGATTCATTTGATATCAAGAATATTCTTATAATATACAACAGTCTGTTAGTTATTTTATCACTTTACATGTTGCGCGAGGTACGTTTGTAGAATCACTCATGCTTGACATGTCACCCGAATGCTATACAACTTTCTGAAAAGACAACCGAAAATTCATTGATGTCCAAATAACCAGCCTCGCTCAGATTCGAAGGCGGTCTGGACTTCGACCCCAGCCAATATCGAGATATACATTAATCCCTGCATGACTAAACCATATATTGGGCAAACGATCACAGCTATGAAATTTGGTATCTGGGTCCGAAAATAAATTATTAATTTTGATTTTTGTTGAGAAAGGGAAATGGATCTCTGCCGGTCCAACGTGTGCCCACCATTAACCATTTTCTTTTCAAATCACTACTCAAAGGTTACTTATTAATAATAAGTCTATCCCTATAGGCTGTACAATAAAACCTTTGAGAGTTATTGTAGGTTCAGGTGTGCTATAATACCGAAATTAAGGCTGTTTTCCACTGGGCGAAGCACTAAGCGGAAATTCGTTTTGTCTTCCTGAAATTAGTTTGGCATGAAAGCTCACAGAAGAATTATACCCTTCGCGCGCAAAATTCAGCCTAGTGGAAAACAGCCTTAATATTCGTCTCGTGACCGACTTATTTTTTTCGTAAGTGACTGTTTAACGGTACGCGAACTTACGGAACTAAACCAATGACGTCGCAAGTGAAGGGTGCATGTATATTCATATACTCGTGTTTCACATTGTTAATTTCTTCTCAAATTGATTGTTATGGCGGTGTGTGAACACGAGTATATGAATACGTCTAAGCACTTATCGATGCTGGCGACACCATGCATGCACAACTAAACCAACCCACTAGCGGTGAAAAACCTTGTCTGTATTGATATTATTAGCGCTCGCTACATTTTCATTTTAATCGAAGTTTGCTTTTTTTGTATAGTTTATATTCTCAGTTACCAGTACTCCAGACTTTAACTACTTTTGTCAAGGGGTCGAACAGGGTGAAAACACTAATTTATTGCGGGTAAGAAATCAGTATAGTGTGATTTGATTTAAATTTTATCATTTAGCAGAGGAGCAGCTGGTAATTGTTTATTTTTATATTTTTATAGCATGCAAATGCCAACTGGTTGTTTCTTATATCTAAAATAGTCGAATTTCTTGATACAGTAAGTAGCAGTTTAAAGGTTTTTCACATGCATGCATGATCGATGGCGTGGGAAACACGATAATTGGGTGGGGGGGGGGGGTTGGGGGTCATTATTCATATTATTTGTGTTGTGCATGATCAATTTCCCTTCAAATGGATCGTCTTTACAGTTTGTTAACATAAATATATGAATATGTGCCCCCCCCTCAGTATAAATCATGCCGATAAAAACTATGCATATATAATTGTCTGATGTTACATTCTGTAGGTGTTTCTTATCGTCAGTAAAAAACCCGTGAGCTTTCTTCATATCTACCATCATAACAGTGTTTGTCTTTTGTGGTGGATCATTGTTAAATGGCACCCAGGTAATATATATATGCATGGGTTCGACAGAAGGATTTGGCGCAATTTCACTTAAAGTTGTCTTGTACACAAGCCTATATAAATGTGCTAGCATTAAGCCATAAAGTATGATAGGATCATTGCGCTTGTCGAAACCGGGATCCCGGCCTCCTAGAGGGACGGGATAAAAAACGTCCCGGTTTCATATAAACAGGACGCGATAAATATTATAGAAATACATACACGCTGGGATCCCGAGCATCGTCCGTCGCGTTCCGGCTCTCATTTAAACAGTTCCTTATTCTAACATTATACTTTGGTGTCTTTTTCAGGTGGAACTAGTAAGTATAAATCGTTGTATTAATATAACCATGCATGCGTAAACAATTAAAGTAGGATTAATTTGTATTATTATATACAAAAACGCAAGACATGAGCTATCGTGCAATCTAATTGGCTCTCCACTAGAGAAGATATTTGCTCATATCTGTCTATAGTAGAAAAACGTAAGCAAAATGGCAGAAAGTTTTGGGGAGATAAGCCACGTTTTCCTTGATAAAAGTACATCAAAGTGCGACAAACTTTGCAACAAAAGTGTTCAATGGTAGATTAAAAACACGATACGGGATTTAATTATTCAATTTTTGAAAAAAGTGTATTCACGATTGTTCAAATAACGAATAAATGTGAAAGTTGTTTTTATCCAGCGCTTGTGTAGTTGTGTATATAATAAAACAGTTATTCTGCTCAATCTCGTCGTATATGACTAATAGCTAACTGGGCCTCGTCGGCAATCAGCACGTTATATACGACTCGAGTTCGCAGAATAACAGTTAAATATTAACTTATATTTATGTATATAGAAAAACTGTTGGATATACGTTAGTTGAATATGTCGTATACTTTGAGTACACAGTGTGGACTGTGGTGCATCTTCCTTTAGGCCGATCTACACGATGTGATTAGTCGTATACGATTCTTATCCTGACGTATGAAAAAGATTGGTAACGTCACTCTGTCTGTTCATCAGTTTATAACGAAATTTAAAATGGGAAACCTTTACACGCATTTATTCGAATACATACGCCAGCATACGAATCGTATGCGACTAATCGCATCGTGTAAATCGGCCTTTTAAATTGGCAACTAGGACACTTGCACGACTGCACAATATTTATGTACATGCATATTTCCTCATGCTATGGCAGATATAACCACTGTCAATAGAGGAAAGGAACATGCAGACAGCGCATATAGAAATTAAATGTTGTCAACTGATTTGATTTGGTCAATTTTAGCATATTTCGGTGCTGTTCTAAATTGTTTCGTGCATGCAGTGATGTATTTTTATTACCTGCTATCTGCATTGGGTCCTCGATTCAAGAAGTACTTATGGTGGAAAAGGTATCTCACATCACTCCAGCTGGTGAGTTCATTTGGGAGGTTTTTAAGTTGTTTATTCTCTATAATTCGATTGGTTATCTTTTCGTTAGTAAAGATTTTCATTGCTAAATATGCATAACTCGGATCTAGTTTCTATTTGTTACACTTTTTTCTTTCTAACAGCTCCAATTTTCAATGGTGTTTGTCTATGTCACAAATGCGATGACCGTGAAAGATTGTGATTATCCACACTGGTTGCTATGGATCTTCGTTGGTTATGACATCAGCCTGATAATTCTATTTGGCAATTTTTACTTTCAAGAATATTTGAAAAAAAACAAAAAGAAAATGGACATGAAATCAAACTAAAATCTTCTACCAATTCTTCATATCATCATCAGTTTCAATTTTTTCTCAGTGCATGTTTTCGTCTTTAAAATAAATCCATTATTTTAATCTTTCAATGTAGGGACACTAGCTCATAGTCAAGACTTACTACCAGGTTCAAGCTATTAATTTTCAAAAATGATGAATCAGAACTTTGTAGAATATTGTAGAACGCGAGTTTGTAGTCATTAAAATTAAATAGATGCTTAAATAGGTTTAGGGTTAGGGTTGCGGTGTTTATAGTAGTTTAGACAATTTCCAAAATCAATCGAAAAAGTAAAAATTTCGTCTTCTGAACATTGATTTCGATTACTAATTTTCGCATTAAAAAAAATCCAATAATTTCTTGATGTTATGAACTGAAGAGAGGTATCAATGGCAATTAATTAGGCTAAAAACGCTTCTTTCCTGATAACTATTTAAGAAATAAAAAACATTTTCGTGTGGGGGTTTGGGAGAACAGATGTAATGAGTGGGAAAACGAGCCCATAGGGCGAGTTTTTCCACGTTAATTCAGGTTCTCCTCCCAAACTCCCACAAGTGTTTCTACTGAACTGTATAGAGACACGGGAAAAAATGTTTTCTATTTCTTTCATAATATAACTCAATAAAAAGATTTTGTACAAATATTATAATGCAATTTAATTACAAATTCTCATTACATTACTTCGCTTATCAAGTTTGGCGGGAAAAGTCTGTTCTAAGGAGATGTTCTATTATTTCATTTTATTTGCTTACAGGCTCTTTGAATCGAAGACTATTGAAATTTTATTTTGCCCTAAATTCCTTAGCGTGAAAATCAAACGGTTTTTTAAACAGTGTAATACGGCTCAAAAGGACCATCCATTATGAACGGGGGAGAGGGTAGACTTCCGCTGTAAATAGCACACTTTAGTTTGGGGCAGGGATAGTCACTCCAAGCGTACCTGACTTTTAGCACAACACAATTTAGCGATTTTGGTGCGACGATCACATACGACGGACCGTGATTAAGAATTGGTGCCTCCAGCCAATCAGTGCCATTTTCACAGAGAACCTGCACGAAGATGTGACGCAATGAGCTAGGAGCAGTTATTAAACAAGATAGGTGCGATGACCTTTTGGAAAAATATACTACACAAATTTCTCTTTTAATAAATTCTTCTTCCTAGCGTTGAAGTAAGGATAATTCTCAGTTTTACTACAGAAGAAGATCTTAACACCTAAGTACAACGCGTGTACATCAGCGAAACCTTCCGACTTAATGAAAAAGTACAATACCTCGAATCCAACGTTACTTCTTACTTCAATTTGAGCATTCAGCAACTTAAAAGTCACTTTAAGCGCCTGGTTGTGGTGTGGTTCTGTCCGTTTCTTGATTGTATCAACCAGTGGTCCACTATAATACCTCTTCCTGTATAATGCAATATATATACCAAACGCTAGATATACCAAACAATAGTGCTTATGCAAATCAGAATGATCAAGAATTAAAACTACAAACCTTCCATACCCTACATCTAATCCAGCTAACGCCAGACGATGGCTCACGGTTCTCTTGTCAGTTGGATGTATGCTTTCATATGGGGATTCTGGGTTTCCAAGATCCATCGCGACCGCCATGAAGACGTTCTTCTCTCTATCATTAGGAACATAGCCATAATGCGCCGTTTGCTCCCAGCGAAGTGGAGCAAAGTTGAACGACCGCCCAGTTGTGTTATCACCTATTGCTGAAAGCTGTACATATAAGACTCATAAGAATAAAGATAAATTCCCTTCAGTGGTTATAGAGCAATGGCCAGTTGAGATGATCACAAAATAATAGATTGAATTCGGATCGTTAATACATAGAATCTAAGATGGAAATAGCATCACAAAGGATCAGAATTAATAGGATTTTTTATACAAACTGTTGCTTGCCGACCAGTGGCGTAGCCAGCCAAAAGATTTTGTCCCGCTATGTAAATTTCAAGTTATTATAATTATTCATGCCTTTAGAAATTCATTGTTTCCACAGTCAATGAACACCAAAATATTAGCATAGCGGGACAAATCGTCGGGCTGCCTACGCTACTGTTGCCGACCCTCAACAACTGTCTTCGCTTGAATAAAGCATGGATATTGATGTAACTCTCAATTTCATACAAACTCACTCTTTCATACTATAATTTCTACATTATCACTCATTCGGAAATTATGGTAATTCTTGTATACAGGGTGTCCCAAAAAAAACGAAAACTATTGAAATCACTCATTGTTAAAATTTGAATGCCGTGCTCACGAATTTCCGCCCGTGGGGATTTAATGCAACTTATAAAATGCTAAATGCTGTTGTGCTAGAGAAAGGGGACATATCGAAGGTCATGGTCCTTGAGATGCACATTAAATAATGTTATCCATATTTGTAAATTGTAAATATTGTTGATAAATATAATTTTTGCGAACAAGCAAATTTGACTGCATCATATGCATGCATAAAAAATGCTTATGGCAACCCCGATTTATACACTTGTGGGCCCAACAGAGTGCTTGGGCATTCAAACTCTAACAATGGCATTGTTATAGGTGATTTCAATAGTTTTCGTTTTTTTTGGGACACCCTGTATATCGAAGCAGCTACGCACCTGAACGAAACCAAAGGGAAACGTCTTGTTGGTATTTTTTCGCGTCGAAGCATACCATTTTGCTCTCCAGTCGTCAATCATGGCAGGGAAAGTGCAGTTGTAAGGATATAATCGGCTCACAGCGTTCCTTTCCCCTTGATACCAAATTGAGCCGTATATGGTCATATTAAGGAAAGGAACGATCATTGCATTCCAAAGACAACTCGGATTTGATGGCCAAGATTTGTGTAAATTGTTGGATGCAAACCTATAATAATGCCGATGGATGGTTTTAGCTATAGAACTAGGCTTCTATTTAGTAAAAGTAAAAGTGAAAAGTTTTGCTTTGAAATAATGGTAAATGATGGAACTATATAGTCTTGCGATAAAATAGACTTTTCAGTTCAGACTATACACATATAGCCTTTGACAGGAAAATAAAAAAAAACATCTTTAGTTCCGGAAGGATCAGTTTTACATCTCTCGCCTATGCTAATTGAATTACATTTTTCTTTCCCAACTCCAAATTTAGCCATTTCTTTTGGAATACTCCGTTTATCAGTGTCGACCCTTGCTATACTTTTGGTTTACCGTGTAGTTCGCTTAATTCAGTTCATCGTAGTAAGTTAATTAGATGGAGTAAATTACTGAATTGATTAGTGCACTGCTAATCGTTACAATTCCGTTCGACCTAACTTAATTCACTCATCTTATTATATCAAATAACTTACTCTGTTTCAGTTATTCCACAAGTTGCCAGGGCTTCAGGTGAGGACCATGCCTCCACCGGTGTACCACCCCATGTTGAGGCAACCAAACCAATTGGATACCTTAGCTCTTTGTACAATTGGACACCATAGTACCAACAAACTGCCGAAAAATACTGCCAGGCGGGACCACCTAATGCTCCTATAGGTAACAATGAAGTGCCTATTTTTATTACCTAAACACACTAACTATCCATTACAAAATTTTTAAATAATTTTAAAACTAACCTGGAGATGCCCGAGACCAAGGTAATCTGACTTTTTTCAATTCAATTTGTGGAATCGATTCACAATCACGCTCTGCTGTGAATAAGCGAATGTCCGGGTACTGAGCAGACTCGTTAATTGCTTCATTTCCGTTTTCAGACTACAAGATTACAAAAGTACACTACTCATTGAATTGCTGCAGCTTGAAGCCTCTATTAAGCGGAGACGGTATCGACTAAATGTTTTGCAGGTTTTCCTCGGTAAACACCACCATGGCAAGGGCCGAATTCCGAAAGTAGAACGATTAATGAAGGGGGGGGGGGTGTTCATTCCATGCAGTTCATTCATATATCCAGTTCTACACGACGGATTTTTTTTACAAAATAAATCTTTTCTTTTGCAAAAGAAATCCGTCGGGCAGAACTATATCCGTCTGGCAGAACTGAACATATGACAAAACCCCTGGACACTACACCAAAAATGGGATACGTCCTTCTGGAAGAACAAAATTTGTTTGCATTACCGAAACAACTGTGAACTCCATGTTGCTCTGTCCACTACACATCCAAACATCACCAAACATAACGTCGCTTAAAGTAATAGTGGTTATGGCGCCTTTAACTTTAGAGTATGCTTTGATAAGATATGGGCCACCAAAACTTGTTGGCGTAAGCATGACTGTCCATATTCCAAACGATGTTTCACCTAAAAAAGATACTAATTGATGCTGCTTACATTCAAACTGTATACGCTTTATTGAAATAGTCAAAACTAGTTAATCCTTTCGATACTCAGGAACATCGGTATTATGTATTCGCAGCAGTATTGTGACTGCTAAGGTTGGGTGAGGAGGTGAAATTCTTTTCAGTTCTAAAAGATATTTGCAATAGTATTGGAATTAACCCCCTTTCATCTCTTTATCATCCCTTAGAATCCTATAGACTTCTTAAAAAAGCTTCCTTAGACTCCTTGAACTCCTTTTATCCCCCAGCTTTCTCGGTCTGGCCTTTGGAACCTAAAGTATATGTGCGAAGGGGAACACAACGAGAGAGGCAAGCAATACAATGTCAATGGTCATTGAAAAGAAATAAATTATTAAAGACCTATGAATGTTTTTGACGTCGTTCACGACTTAACGTTGGCGTTCTGTTTACAACTGAAAAACTCCGCCTGTGTACAACATCTGCATGCATTTCACGATGTAGTGAGCGCTATTTCGAATCCGTAGAGTCTATAAAATCGTTCCCAATCATAAGCCCGATATTTTCAACGTTTTATACCTCATTAAATTGCTGCGATTGATAAAGCGGTGTTTTAGCCGCGTCGTCGTCGTGTTGCCGTCCTATATGTATGCACATGCAATATATCCATTTACGATTGAGCCTACGTCAATCGTGCCGTTGACTTGAAAACGTGTCTTCTAAGTATTATTACAAAAAAAATGGCGCGCGGACTAGAAATTAAGTCCGAAAAAGTAATAGCTCATAAGTGTTAGACGACAAACTTGTACGGTTCAAAGCGTTGTTTTCATGCGATTGCGTGATGTTAATCTTGCGAGTAGTTAGTTGCTTCGTTTTAAACAAAAGGCAGCGTCAAAGCGTCTGCTAATAAGCTAATTGCTTCTCATAGAATGACGTACATATTATACCTACTAACTAAAAGCACATCTCGATAGTTCGAGCTAATAACGATCTTCGTTGTAGGAAAGCTGAGGTATATTTTGTATCGGCAGTTGTTATGCTATGTTTGAAACATGGTCATAACTGGTAATAACATTCTAATCACGATAGCCACAAAGTTAGTAACCACATGCATAACACGAACTACCGCATGTCATACCCTGGATTTTAGTTGTAGTAAACGATCGGAACCATTCTCCATTATGAAAAACCTTCACCTTTTGGCCGATTTCTCCGTAACCCCACACAATTGCGCGTTTCGGCGCTTGTTGCAACACCATATGGTTGCCAAATACGCTTGCAAAACGAAACACATTCTCGGCATAGACCTGGCCGAAAACCAGAACCAGCGTGAAAAAAAAGAACATAACGCTCATCAAAACAGAACTGGCAAGTTTTCTCGTTAAAAATATATATTTATACAAGTTTTGACCGCCAGTCTACAGTCTTCGACGGGATGATACCAATGTTTAAGGAAGAGCTGGACAGTTTAAAATTGCGTGAGGAAAAAAAACGCGAATATAGAATTAACAATAGACAAGCAATTAGGAATCACTTATGTAATTATTACCTGCTCTAATTATATCCCACTCCAGGCACTCCTTTTTTCTTATCTAACCGCAAACCAATGGGAGACCGATATTCCAGTTGACTTCATATCCAAAATACAAAACTATTCTAAATTGTTCCTGAAGTTTGTTCCAAAATTCAAAGGTGTGCCGATAAGCTTCAGAAAACTCCTTTTAAATTTTCAAACTTTAAAAGGGAATTTCTGAAAACCTTTGTCATTCAAACTATTCTAATTGTGATTTCCAACGAATTGAAACTTCCATCGAACTTTCGACCTGTTGCAGCTTTTAGTATCTACATAAATGATACATTTAAACGACACACTTATCACGATGTATAGCGATGTGTAACAATCCATGAATCGATGATAGATGTCTGATATATAAAAAAACATTAAAAAATGAAGAAATAGCGTTCAAACAACAAGCACTTGACTTGGTACGGGTATGAAATTTAAATATCAGAACATTGCATTCTTTGATCGATGTTTAGTAGTTAAGACAACTGAAAAGGGTCAAAAGACATAGATATTGCACATACGAAAGTGTCGACACTGATTCCGTACGGAGCAGCACATCGTTTTTTCGGCATATTGCTAGGCTCATCTTTAAGAGGCGCGAACTTTTCAATTTTTTACCTCATACCGAAAAGTCTTTCTACGGCGCTGTTCCATTATATGCAACCTTCCTTGCAACTTGCAATGCAATTCTACTCCTGATCGGGGCATCTAAAGCTAACAAATACGAACATTTCTTACGATCTGCTGATGTGTTTTTTAGCATTTCAAATACTCCTTACAAATTAACATCCTTCAAAATTATAATTGCATTGCAACTTTCAAGAAAATTGTATAGTGTAACAGCGTCTTTAATACGAACGATTTAAAGGAGTGCAGATTTTTGTGGAAGGCGACAAGTTGCGATTGATGCCAGCGACTGTCTATATGAAATATGAAATGAAATGAGATAGGAAGGTAATTGACTGTACACCCGGTGCATACACACGCCAAATTTAAAACCACGCATATATGCATGGCATTAACAGGTAATAGTGAGGTAGTAAGTTCACGGCACCCATGCAGGTATATATAGATCATCGCAATCATCGATGGTTTGATTAATGAAAGTAATCACCAAAGAAATATTACATTCACGACCCAACGTTTCGACACTCCGGTCTAGTGTCTTCATCAGGGGTGATCTGATGTTAAAACTTTGATCCTTATATGCTCTCAAGATGACATCATATACCATTCAGATGTAAATAAAAATTTGAAGTCCACATATTGACATCAAAACAGTCAAAATGCATTATCGTTGAATAATCAACAAGAATATATTGAAAGGTTAAATCTCATTTGCTTTTAGAAAATTAAAAACTTTGAAAAATCGCGTCGCGTTGTCAAATCGCGTCCTGTCTAGGTGGGCCTCCTTTCCCTGGAATATACAAACGACCAAATTCATTCACATTTATTGTCGGCACCGTTTTTATTCACGTTTTTAGAGTTTACGAAGTGTGGAGGTTGAAACGTAAATTTTATGTGTCATCGGCTATCAAAAAGCGAAAGTTACGCTCATTGACCGTTAGAATTTTGCGTGCAATTGGTTATACAGTGCTTTGCACCTAATTGGCTTCCCTCAAATTTCTTAAACATCATGTTTGGCGTATGAAAAATTTGCGCTTGGACGAAAATCGCTGTAGAGTATGCAGAATGAGTTTTCAGTTTAGTCGCTATGCGATCCTTGGGTTTGGCGAAAATATGCCCAAACTTCGATCCCACAATTATTCAGCAAGAAAAGCTTTGTTTTTGTGAAGTTTGCAGCAAGTTCAGCGAAAAAGTGGGAAAATAAACAAATGACTTAAAATTCAGCAGAGAAAATCTGAGCAGCAATCAGTCTCGTATTCGCGTAACTCATCTTGCTCTTTTTCGAATAGTTCAATAATTGTTCCCTATTATGTGTGCCAATGTCAAAAAGACTTTTTTCAATACCTCAAAGACCATTTTACGCTTCGTTAAATCTCGGTAACCGGGCTCATGTGAATAGCCCCTAAATGCTTTTTAAAAGCTGCCTTCGCGACTAAATGATATTTCTCAGAGGATTCCTCAAAAACGGGCTTTGCAGTAGTCCCATACATTTAAGGAGTTGCAAATATTTTGGAAATATTTTGCTTCGTTTGAAATGGCGAGAGGTTGTTGCATTCATCTATTTCTAGTTTGCTTATAACGCCTGCAGGTACCATAGTTGTGCGTATACTTGTTATGTCACATCTGATGCATCAGATACATATCCATACATGTATGGAAAATGTCTGCCAGTTTCTGATACTTGTTTTTAAGCTTCTCAAAGTCAGTACAGATGAACTGAGTTTTCGATTCGATTTTCGATGTATTGCAAAAGTTCTTAAAATAACCTGAAATGTCTGGATAGCACATTTGGCGAAATGTGCTATCCAGACAGTTCATGCATTTAAAATCTTTTAAGTGCCCTATTATTATTATTTTAAACATGCAACCCGCACAGTAATTCATCGTGGAAGCCCAGGAGGAAAAATCTCTATTATATAAAGTTAAGTCATTCTCTTAGCATATCGGTAAGTTTTAAATATATTCGGAGAAGAAAAAAATGCATGCTGCTTGACGTCTTCGGTGCAATGCATGTTTAGGTCATTAAAATAATATTTAGGATAGAGCTTTTCTGACAAGGGGGCCGGTTCCATGTTTGGATCATGGAAGTTTAGAGTGATTTTTAGGAAAAGTACAGACTAATTATTAACTAATGGTCTAATACGCAACGATGATATAATATTTAGCAAGTCCTTAGAACACATGAACGAAACATATTTCAACTCATTTGAAGAAAGGTTTGCATGCACAACGAACCACAATTATAAACGCATCACACCACATTCTCGTGTTTTTCATCGGTTTTTAACTTTTGTAATAACCTTCAATCTAAAAAGCAGGCGGTGGCATTTGGTGGAAATGCAACGTTGAAGGTTATTACGAGAAAATAAAAACAGCGTAGCAAGTTATTACGAAAACCACATCCCGGGACGGGTTAATACAACAATAATAAACTCTAAAATATAAGCAACTCTTATTAAAACGATATTAGCTCATATCTGTCGAGTAGAGAAAGTAAACAAAATGGCTGAAAGATTTGGGGAGTTGAGTGAAATAGAAATCCAAGCCTAGTTGATAATAGCACACCAAAATGCACCGAAAGGGCGAAAAAGTTTGTGTATATAATAAAACAGTTATTCTGCTCACTCTCGGCGCTACGTGCCTCGTCGGCTATCAGCTCATATACGACTCGAGTTCGCAGAATAACTGTTAATTAGCAACTCTTAATTAAAACGCGTAAGTAAAGTTGCAGGTATTTTAATAAGGAAACGTCCGAAAAACAAAAGAATATGCATGGTCTGCTAAGCATATAAACAAGTTAAAAGCCACGGGGTCGGTTTTTATTCAGAATATAATAATTTTTTATTATGTATAACATTGCGTGGAACGATTCAAAAGTCATTACCTCTAACAATCGTTATGGACAAAGGGGTTGTTTGGACGCCTGGCATATTAATGCGAGTCTTTGTGCCCTAAATAGGGATGACAGAAGCTATATACTTGCCAAAAGTATATTTACATTTGATTGGCAGATGACGTCATGTTGAGAGTAAACAAGGATCAAAGTTTCTTAAGCCGGTTTCAACATTAGACTACCTCTGGTGAAAACACCAAACCGGAGTGTCGAAACGAATCTTATTACACTTCTCGTAAAATAAAAATTAAGCGATCATTTCAAACGAGCATAGTGAGTAATTAACCGAACAATTTCGGTAATCTAAGATGAATAAATGTTTGATCTTGAGATATGTGGAAAAGTCTGAAATATTTACATCTTAATAGTAACAAGCAATTAATACTGACAATAACTTTTTAATAAGGCATTAATTGTAACAAACACTATGTATGCAATACAGTGCCATACATAAGTGTTTGTTATTGACTTATTGGGGGGGGGGGGGGGTTACATTACGTGAGAAAAGTGGTATATTATTTATATGAAGAAGATTTGCATGCTTTTAAAATAAAAGTAAGATCAATTTATCTTAAAAGAAGAACAGGAAATGTCAACATAATAGTACAAAATGTCAAATGCACTTTCAAAGATAAATGGCAATTTCAGCAGCACAGTAACATGTGCCATAAATAGTTATTTAATGTTGCATGTCAATACTATCTATAAAAGGGTACACTTTTAACAAAAAAACAAAACTAGAACATCTCTAATATGATCATAGGGACTGTCAACACTGTAGAAAATGTCAAATGCATTTCTAAAAACATCAATTTTAGCAATATTAATCAACTTCTTTTGCCACTGAGTCATATGTTAACTTTACATCAGGGATTGACAGAAGTGCATCAGACAAGTCATCTGAAGAAAACATCTGAAAGACAAATGTCTTGGGGAACTATGTCTACCAAGGCTTTTACATAAATTTGCGCTATAGTTGCGCTAGTCTATATTGTTGAACCAAGTCAGTTTCATTACACTGTTGTTTGCTTTTATATTCCCTCATATTTTGGAGTCTATTTTGCCTACATTCTAAAACAATTGTGCTAGAAAGATAGAAACACTCCATATGCTTTATCAAAGAACATATTTATATTCAACAAATGTATTTGCAATTGCTATGTGAAGTTTATAATGAGAGGGAGTGTCCTCATGAATGATAACAAGCCCTTGCAGTTCTTGTTTGTAGTCAATTACAGAAATTACTTTTCCATCATTTGTTGTGACCATTGAGTCAGCAGCCACAATGGATGGCTCATAATTGTCATTTACCACAACAGGTGGTTCACGGTCACCCACCACAATGGGTGGTTCACTGTCACTCACCACAATGGGTGGTTCACTGTCACTCACCACAATGGGTGGTTCACTGTCACTCACCACAATGGGTGGTTCACTGTCACTCACCACAATGGGTGGTTCACCGTCACTCACCACAATGGGTGGTTCACGGTCACCCACCACAATGGGTGGTTCACTGTCACTCACCACAATGGACAATTCACTGTCACTCACCACAATGGGTGGTTCACGGTCACCCACCACAATGGGTGGTTCACTGTCAATCACCACAATGGGTGGTTCACTGTCACTCACCACAATGGGTGGTTCACTGTCACTCACCACAATGGGTGGTTCACTGTCACTCACCACAATGGGTGGTTCACTGTCACTCACCACAATGGGTGGTTCACGGTCACCCACCACAATGGGTGGTTCACTGTCACTCACCACAATGGACAATTCACTGTCACTCACCACAATTGGTGGTTCACTGTCACTCACCACAATAGGTGGTTCACTGTCATTCACCACATTGGGCGGTTCACCGTCACTC